TGAATAGTTGCTCCGAAGAACTAGATTATCTGTTATAGTGGATTTTTTGGTTTTGTGCTAAAATATGCAACCATGAACATTCCATTTGTATGCATTTTTGCTGTAGCGCTCCTACAGCGAGCAAAAACGCATATTGTCGAGAGGTTGTATGTGTGATTGTGTTCGAAAGCTGGTGAACTTTGCCACTCACTTTCAGTTGAGCAATCAGGAGCTGGAAGGTTGAAATTTTGAGGACATATTCCTACCCGGTGTGTCACCCTGTCTTTTCAAAAACTTCGTTTATACGCGCCTAGACCCCGCATACGGCCCCCCAAAAAATATGCGTATTTCTTTGGCGGATAGCGAACCAGGCAAAATAGAAAACTGGAACTTTGCAGGGATATTCAATAATGTGCTTGTGTGTGCGTATGGCCACGTCAAAGTTTGCACCTGGAATAACTAGCCGGAAAATGGTGGTTGAAATTTTGTCAGAATATTTACCGTCCATACGAGAAATCGTACACCTAAAGTGCGTTCCGACTTGCACCTGCACCATTTAGGGCATTTCAAAGGCATTTGTAGCGAAGTGGTTTTTTTGTTTACCGGATAGTGTGCAGAGCAGAAATTTTGCTAGAATATTCTACTTTCAAGTGCTTCTGCCTGGGAGTGAAATTCCCTGCAGGTGTGTATGAGAAATACCCACTTTTTCCACAAACTCAGAATCGAATGCATTTTGCAGCGGACGCCGCCCTTACACTCTCCTAACATCCACATCATTTATATATTTGGATTTTTTGACGAAAGACCGCTCTAACAACATTTCCACTTTTCAGTGAAGAACTGGAAATTTGCATTTTTTTGAAGAGCGCACATTTACTGTAGAAACGACCGGGCTTCATGCAAAAAACTGATAATTATGTACCTGGAGATCCACGCTGCTCTATAATGTAATACCTTTATCCCAACTGACGGTCTCTCCCCTGCATGCTGGAAGAGGCCAAAGCACGGCCAATATGAGCCCAAGTGTTAGGCTATAGCGCAATGATCATTCTTGCTGTTAGCGATCTCCAGGTTTAGTGCATAAACACATGATCACGCCAGCAAACCTGGTGCATTCCAGCCTGGGTTTTTATTTAATTTCAATAAAATTTTGAAAACGGTAATGATTTTTATGCGATTTTTGCATTCAAGTAAGCACAGAATGCACAATAACGATGACGTGTTTCTGCATATTTCAACCACCACAGCTAAAAAGTTGGAATTTTAGTAATTTATTGGGTGCT